GGGGAACAAGCGGGGTGCCATGACAAGGACAGAGAGAGGGCAGCGTGAAAAGAGACGGCGGGAGGAGCCGACGAGTAGAGGAAGGAGACAAGGAAAAAGGTATTGAAGAGAGTGAGCACTTAGTTCACTTAAGCTGACAAAAAGCCTGCGCTGGAAAATCTTTTCGAGCCGTATTTATATATAGTGGGCGCGGTAGCTTGACGTGCACTTAAATAGCATCCAGACCTTGTTCCACATGCCAGCGTCAAGCTCCGGTTTGCGTCGTGCCCTTCATCTTTTATCAAGCCGCAGAAAAGCAAAAAAAAGCGACTTTGGAAAAGGGAATAAAAGAACAGGTTTTTCTCCACAGTTCCATTTCTTTGGAATGAAGTCGGACGCGGTATTTCTCCGCCTTTTCAAGATTTTTCTGGAGAGAATGGACACATATAATTGTCTGTATTTTTTTCAAGATTTAAAGTTCTTATCGGGTGAATTTTTTTCACGACACACTTACCTATTCTTTTTTTTTTTTTTTTTTGTCTTCCTTTAATTAGCATCTCATGCAGTCAGTCAAACTATCACCTGACGGCGGTGTGGAAATTTAGAACGGATTGCTCCTTTTCAGAAACAGGCAGATTGCAATCGATTACGGCCGAAGCTATCTCATATTTTTAGAATTGCGTATTCACCTGGTCCGGTGAGTGATGTGGGCGTCAGGAGAATGAGAGTGTGGATTTGTCGAAAATGGGTGGCTATTAGCCAGTCTGTATGTTGAGTGACTTATCGTGACTATTTTTTTTTCCATTCATTCATTTTCCGAAACGCTTATCCTTTAAAAAATAAAAAAAGATGTATAGGCAGGGATCAGGTTAAAAAAAACACACACATTCAGTGAATTGGGTTAAAAAAAAGAAAAGAAATAAGCATGTTTTTTCTGAAAAAAAAAGGTGTGTATGTTCCCCCCAAAAAACCCACAAATTCACAAATGTCGAACTTGAAATCTGTAGGGGTATTTCCAAAGTCGAATAGAATCGAAATCTCTTTTTTATTTAATTGGTGCACATAGCAAGTTGATACCAAAAAGAAATATATATATATATATAAATGACATCAATAACACTTTGTTCACTTGGGTATCATCACAGCATTCATTTAAATCTGACGTTGTTGAGCTCCGAGCAATCAGCTGAGGACATACATTGCTTCTTGCCCCCTCCAAAAATTTGCTGGGAAAGTCTCCTGTTACCAGAAGTGGAATAGAATATAAATGGAAGGACTGCTTTTAATTTTTTCCGAGATTGCTACAACAACGGTACTCGACGTGCGAAGCAGCTCGAGAAAATATACCCTCAGCGCCAATTAAAGAATGAGCAGAGACTGCCTGGCAGCTAAGTCGCCGAGGGAGATGGCAAATGGCAGCGAGAAACTTCAATAAAATCGACGCGTGAAAGAAGTCTTGCAAAAGGAAAAGGAGGTGCGGGGTTGCACCGACAGAGAAATCAAAAATGTAACATGAAATATTCAGCATCGCCCTCACAGGAGGCTGTCCACAAATAGGTCAGCTCAATATGGTTGCCTAATATTGGCTCGAGCGCGTACGCGCGCACACACACACACACACACAGACACACGCGCAAAATCCCAGCAGCAGACAATACACATCAATGGCGTCTCCAAGGAGCGACGGTGGATTTGACGAAGGCAGAATAACTGTCGAGTCGTGTGCGGCGGCCTTATGCGGGCGTTCTTTCAATTAGCACCAGTTGGCTCCAACTTGGTGGCGTTATTTTAAATCGACGGCTCTGTCGAATTAAAAAAAAAGGCTCGCAAACTCCACACCTGTCATGTTTATGAAACAGGCGCATTGCAATAAATGACAAAAGTGGAATCCTGTCCAAAAGTTGATTGATTTCGAATGAGCCGAGACAAAAAGTGAAACTCATCATGTTGAGATTCATGAAACACACAATGGGGAAATTGGTAGCATAGGCGCGGCAAGATTTCATTTTTTTTTTAAATCAATAATGTAACAGTAAGGTAAAAATGACTTTGGCAAGTATGCTCTTAGGTCAACTAAATGATTCCCTGCTAATTTCGACACTACAAATCGATTTCGGTGGGTTTTTTTTTTTTGTATGTAACAGAAATTCCTGAGATGTTTAACTCTGCTTAGCTTGTACGCAAAAATACTGAAACTGAAGTGCTGAATTCCATTCTGTGTGGAGTGGAGGAATGCCAAGATTAGTCAACTAGTCATGACAACGATCAATGATCAAAGTTGTTGACAATACATCCAATAGTCGATGAGTCGTTTATTTATATATATATATTTATTTGCCGGTTTGTTTTTCTGTAGCGAACATATTGTAGCATTGAATAGCTATGGATTACGGAGGCAATAATCAGCAAAGTCGTGTGTCAATAACCAAAACACAGTTTTTGTATGTGCGTGATTGACAGCGAACAAGCGCTCCCTCAAAGTCAGTCACAACCACGCAAAGAATGTTGTGTTTATGAACTCAGACGCAGCATCAGTCAGTCGAAGTAACACGACATGACGTATTTGCAACAAGCCCTCAACGGCAACACATCAAAAATCAGACAACCTGCCTTGTTCGTTACAAGATACAAATTTCTAGTGCTGAAGTAATAAGTCCCTCTTGAACAAAAGGAGAAATATTGGAAAGTAGACGTAGCATTTCACCTCATGCTACATTTGCTAGCTGCAAAGCTAGTAGCCGATTAGCAAACGCGGTGACATTTAACCAATTTGTTACCTCAAGTTCTTTTTAGAGAATAGATAGCCCATGTGGACCTCTCCCCACCAACCAGGAACAGGTCTCAACTTTTTCTCTTTTTTTTTTTGCCTTTTATGAACTCCCCCAAAAAAACAATGTACATGCACATAATGCCTCCATCAAAGTGACCTTGAGAGCTGTTGTCTCGTCTCCCCAACGGAACTGTGCCGATGGACTGATCTGACGGACGCAACGATTGGGCATGGTCTGGATCGGTGACAGACTTGTAGCGTGACATCTCAACTGGTTCACGACACAGAACGATATTTATTTGGTAGTCTGACAGCACAACTGTCATGGACGACAAAAAAAAAATGTGTAGTTTGACAAGGCCAAAAGAATAAAACTCATTAGTTGCCTTTAAGAACAATGGTAATGAGAGATCAGAAAAGTTGCTAAATATAGCAACAGAATTGCAAGAGTGGCAACACTGCTTTTGAAAACACGCACGTGTTTGTCGCTATGTTGTTAGTGGAAGCAGTGCAGGTCAGCTTACATAGACATCCATCCACCCATCCATCCGTCATATGAACCCTTTTATCATCATGAGGGTTGTGGGCGTGCTGCAGCCCATCCCAGCTAACCTCAGGCAATAGGTGGGGTACCCCCTGAACTGGTTGCAAGCCAATCGCAGGACACTCATAGATGATGGACCATTTGTGCTCACAATCACCCCTCAGGACAATTTGGGTACAACTTAAGATAAATTTTGAATTTTCAATAAATTTCCACGATTTGTTTTCAGGGTGCTCGAAACTTACTCCCACATTCCCCAAAACTCGTGGGGGTGCTGGAGTCTATCCCAGCCGTCTTCGGGGGGACACCTTGAACCGGTTGCCAGCCAATCGCAGGGCACACAGAGACGAACAATCATCCGCGCTCACACTCATACCTAGGGACAATTTTAAGTGTTCAATCAGCCTGTTTTTGAAATGTGGGAGGAAACTTGAGTACCCGGAGAAAACCCACACAGGCCCAGGGAGAACAAACACACAGGCAGGCCAGAGCCAGGATCGAACCCACGACCTCTGCATTGTGTGGGCGATGCGCTAACCACTGGACCACCAGGTCGCACGTTAAGGTCAGTGAAGACTAAATTGTAATTGACTGGCAACCAATCCAGGGTACAGTATATCCCGCCCCTCGGGAAAACAATTCACCACTGGCTCCATCCAACGCTAACCTTCCTAACCTGAGCCCAGCGTGCTGGCCTGCAGGACGCAGAAAGTTTAAAAACCCGTGAACTACACAACCATGCATTTTTTTTCAATAAATAGAAAATGATACAACGTAGGCTTGTCTGTCGGCACCGATGCCCCCTCCACCCTCCTGCACATCCCCGGTGTGCCTAATGAAGCGTCCTCGGGGACGCCCTCCTCTCACCTGAGCTCAACGTGGTGTTGCACTGCCACTTGTCGATGCTCGTCGGCTTCCAGCAGGACTCCCACAGGGACAGGTAGTACTGGTCGTCAGCTGTCACCCACGCGGGGCTCATCACGGCGCCCACGTCCAGGCACAGCGCCAGGAAGACGCACACCAGCCCGACCAGCTTGAGCGGTGTGAGCGGGGAGCTTCGCGCCGATTCCTCCGTCTCGGTGATAGCCGACGACATGGCGAGGGGCGCCGCGGATGCGAGCAGGTGGAGGGTGGTGCGAAGGAAAGAAGCCCGCAGGAGAGAAGTCGGTTGTCTTACGTGGGTGGATCCCGCGCGCCGGACGGGACGTGTGCCTTGTGGGCATCGCTGGAGCGGAGCAACGGAGCTTGATAGGCTAACCTGGAGCCGCTGACGTCACTGCTCCCTACTGGCGGGAGATAACGACGTACAAATACGTCCCTACGTTTTTCACGTACACGTACACGTTTTACTTAAGTATTTCCCCCGGACGACTCTTTACTTTTACTGTCTACATTTGAAAGTAGATCTGTACTCAGTGATGCAGTATAAGACTTGAGTATTTTTTCAGGTGGTGGCTTTACTGTATTTTAATAGTAATAGTAGTTCTGGCGTGCTTCACTGAGTTGCTGCACTCGTGTATGTCAAGGACGACGAGTTGGGATGACATAACAGATTTGTGTGTGTGCATAAGTCGTCTGATCAAGACCTGAAATTGAACCAGGAGGATATGAAATATGCTAATGAACCTGAATAATGATCAGGTACCATTTCTCTCGATCTCTTTCACACACACACACACACACACACACACACACACACACACACACACTTTGCTTGCAACAAGTGCGTCAAGGCTGCGACCGATGACGTCACCGGACTGCCGCTTTCATCATTTGCAATGGTTTTTCCGGGCCTTTACTGCAGCCTCTTCCAGTTCTTGTTTGCTCCTGGAGGTTTCTCCCTTTAGTCTGCACGTCAGGAGTTGAAATGCCTCCTTAATTGGGTTCAGGTCCAATGTTGGATGATGAAAGATTCTCCCGACTATTTTGGATGTGTTTTGTCTGCGAATTCCCAGAGAAAATGGTTTCCGTAGACCTCCGACTTCATTCTGCCACTACCGTCATGAGTCATCTCGTCAATAATACGGGTGAGCCCATTCCAGGAGCACCCATGCAAGGCCAAGCCTGACATTACCTTCACAACGAGTCAGTGATAAGATTGTGTGTTTTGAATCATCGGCAGATCCTTTCTTTGGCCTTTCCATCACTTTGGTTGAGGTTAAAGTTGGTCCCATTAGTCCCAAAAACCTTTCTCTGTGCTTCTTCCAGTTTGGGCTTCTGATTCAATTTGTCGATGAGTAGTTGGCATCTTGTGGTATGGCCCGCATATTTCTGCTGTGGAAGTCTTCTTCGAACAGCGGATTGTGATACCTCCAGCCGTGCGCCGAGGACGTTGGCAGTGATGTCACTGGTTGGTGTCTTTGGGTGTTTGGCATCGACCGCTGTCGATACCCTTGTATGACCTGCTCAATGTCTGTTGCTCGCTACACCAGTAGTTCGTTTTTCTTCTATGCCTGATGTTTGTGCAATAAGATATCCTTTATGTGTCCCACACTGGGGAAATTTACAGTCTACAGCAGCAAAATTGTGGGTAGAAAGAAGAAAGAACAAAAACAAAGTGTTTGCATTCACAAAATAAATGTTTCATTTTCAATGTACACAGTTCAATTAAGTGCAATCGCGCTGATCTATATTTTTGTCCCCGCTCAACTCTCTCAGCTTCTTTTCTCTCATAGGCAGCAGTCATGTGTTGCAATAGTTTTATCTCCCTTGAAAATAAAAAGTGGGTGGCTTCAAACCAAAGGTGCTCAGCCCTGAGTCGTTGAACACACCCACATAGAAATACCACAAAATAAAAGAGGGAATTCTGAACTTTTGCCATGGCCGAGTTCATCGGAGCCTTTTTTAGTAGCGTCCAATACAAGATGAAAGGTGGCGGAGGTTAAAGTTGCCGTTCTTTTTTCCGCTTTCCCACCAGTGATAAAAGACTAAAACATCAAACGCAACTAAGGAGGATTGAACATCACACATTTTTTTTTTCAGGGCTCGAGAGAGCTGAGGTGAAACCAGTGCGCGCACGTCACAATGTCCATCTTCAGCCATTGGTGTCACACTGCAAGATTCCCCCGTCCCTCTCTCTCACACACACACACACACACACACACACACACACACACACACACACACACACACACAAAACTAGGATGATTTATTTAATGGAAGACATGTTTTCAGAGCACAGTCTCAATCTTTCTCAAGGTTGTCCGGGCTATAATTTAAAAGCCCTCAATTGAAGGGACGTGATTTATGACGCGAGTTAACTCCATGGCTCTGTTATTACCTAACAAAGAAAGAATAAAAGATGTAACATTTGATTTGAGCGAATGCAGTAACTGGTTTTGCTTGGCCATTTCTTTGATTCCCCGTCCGTCGTGACAGATGGTGCAAAACCTGAAATTGCGACTAATTAAGTGCAATCTTAATAAAGGGATTAATCTGAAGGTAGGTTAAAGTGAAGCAGACAGAACCAAAATGACACAAGTGCAAGGTGGAAATCTGGGCTCCAAAAAAAGTAGGGGTGTCAAACTGAGTGTAGTTGAGGGGCCGCAGGCTAATTTGATGTCAGGTGAGCCGCACCAGTCAAATCGTAGCATATAAATGACAGCAAGTTGGCGTTTTTTCCCTTTGTTTCACTGCAGCACAAAACTTTAAGAGGTCATTGGAACTGAGCTTTCCTTTTCTATGTCTGAATAAAACTCAAAATTGACTTTGAACCACACAAACTCAAGTGAGAACGATTTCATTTGGATGAGAAATTGATCACCTGCCGAGTATAAGAAAAAAACGTAATTTAAAAAAAAAAAAAAAGGTTATGCATATGCCAAATCAGATTGCACCTGACAAAGTTCTTTGTGGCTAAACTGAATCGCTACACAATTTTCTCACGTTTGAACCTCCGAACCTCAGCAATATAGTGAAACTCCTCTACAACGAAACCTACATGGGCGAAAATACCCCCTAGTGTGAAAAAATTTTCATGCATGAAAGCCATTCCCACTTTTCTGCTCCCCCTATGACGAAAAGTCCCCCTGTTTCGTTATGCGAAATCTTTTTCTCTGCTCTTGCCTCGCAATGAGCTTCACTACAACGAAAGCAAGCCTTCCGCAAAAGTCTTAATGCAACCTCAGCATGCCACAGCGACCTCTGCTGCTTCGTTCGGAAACGGCAACAGCAACCAACACACTGGATTACACATGTGCAGTAGTCCAAGAAGTATTTGTTATTGTTAGCTTCAGACGCAGCACAAACGTTTCATTGCTAAAATGGCTACGAAACGGCCCTTTGTAGACCAAGGAGTTAAGAAAAGCATTCACGCTTGAAGACAGGATAAAAGTAATAAAAATGACGCTGGCTATATGAAGTGTCAAAAAAGTGTATGCTCATATTTATGCACTACGTATTGGAATAAAAATAAAGAGAACACACATACGTTTTGTGTGTGTGTGTGTGTGTGTGTGTGTGTGTGTGTGTGTGTGTGTTTACATCGGAGATAAAATTTGCTACAGTGAAAAGCCCCCTGTTGTGAAAAATTTCTTGCTGCAAACATGATTTCGTTGTAGAGGAGTTTCACAGTACAGACAAATGCAAAGGGAGCCACAAAAAGATTCAACTTCAATATTCATGTGATTCTATTAAAACGAGTTATTACTATTAGTACTAAAATGGGGGGTGCGGTGGGGGTGGGTAGCATATTCAAGCAACTTAAACCAAGGCCCAATTTTAATTATCACAAATGAAAATTCCAATTAAGTCCCCCTCCCCTTTCCCCTTTCTGCTTTCGATGATTTGTTCCTTCGCTCTGTTGGGCGACGAGCAAATGTATTCGTGAGATCCTGCAGAACTTTGTTAATTTGACAAAATAACCTATACCACCGAGCGTTGAGGAAGAATAAAATGAAAAACAGGAGGCAAAATGAAAGAAAAAGAAAGGAAGGAGAAAAGGAATCCTAAACTGTCGAGCACAAAGTAAGGACAAAATGAAAAAAGACGCAAAATGAAAGAGACAGAAAGAAAGCAGAGAAACTAAATAAAAGAAAGATAGCAAGAAATAAGGAAGGAAGGATCGAACGACAGAAAGTAAATTCAGTGTGAAGCATCCGTTGTGCCGCATCAGTCGTGTTGCGGCGAGATTTTGATGGCGGGTGGCGCCATCGAAAATCCCTCTCTGCGCGAAGCAAAAAACTGTCACGGAGGGCCATTTAGTCGCGCGTGTGTGTGACACCTGTGCATGAAATCGACAGAGAGAGATGAAGAGTCATTTGCAGATTTTCAGCGGCGCTGAATTTGCCAGGGCTGGAATGCGCCGGTTCCTCGTGACAAAGTTGGGCTGCTGTTCACTGGCGAGGAGCGCGGCGCCGTGGCTGGACGACGGTGCAGACAGAGGAGCGGTTACGCCTCTGACGTCATAAATCCACTGCATGACGGACGCCTGCGGGAAGGATCGGGGCCGGCTGTTCGTTGTGCAACTTCAATATATCGTGCGTGGGCAATACCTTGATGGTAAGTCTTGCGTTGTGCCTCTGATTTTTGGCGGTGGGGGTGAAAAACACATTGATGAGGGCGCCGCTGGAATCGACGGGGGGCAACATTCCAGAAGCTGGACTGACGGCAAACTCATTGCTGCTGCCCGGCTGGAAAGTTGCGGTGAAAGGCTCCGGCCTCCTGAGAATTGAAATTGAATTCCTTGAAATTAGACAGATGGACAAGACAAATTGGGGAGCCTCGCCAGCTTCTGCCTGTAAATGTGCCGCCAACAAGTGGACCTGGTTATTCTTCCGGGATTAGCTGGGCTAGACTTCTAGCTCAGCGTGGAACCGTGGAGCGGCTTGTGAGGGAGGGGGAAAAAAGTGTTATCATTTGGTGCATCGTACATCCGAACCTCAGGGGTCCTCCTTCCCATAAGGCATCACCAACCTTTGCTTACCTTGGGCTACCGCTTTCATACACACTTCTGAAAGAACACATTTGCCCAAATTAACTTTGATGACAAAAAATATCCATCCATCCATTTTCTAATCAGCTTATCCTCGGGAGGGTCATGGGCGTGCTGGAGCCTATCCCAGCTGTCCTCGGGCAGTAGGCGGGGGACACCCTGAAGACAAACAACCAGCCGCACTCACACTCACACCTGCCACGCATGTTTTTGGAATGTGGGAGGAAACCGCAGCACCCGGAGAAAACCCACGCAGGCACCGGGAGAACATGCAAACTTCACACAGGGAAGCCGGAGCCGGGATCGAACCCACAACCTCTGCACTGTGAGGTCGACGCGCTAACCACTGGACCACCGGACCACCCTTGACAAAAATATATTCCTCATAAATGACATTCCCACACCGATCACGTCAAGTTCTCACAATAATTCTTAACCATGATTTAACGCGGTCTGAAAGAGATATTCAAACCGTTCAAATGATCACTTTTGCAACAATCGCAGGAAATCACCTCTCACCACTAAGGGATTTTTAAAACACGCCAACGGGCTACTCATGTGATCCTTGGGGATTTTTGTAGGCTCCATGTTGGTCACCCCCTGCTCCACTCTTGAACAACTACCACAAAAAAGTTGGCATTTCCTTTGGGCAGTTACAACAAAAAAAAAAAGGAATAGCGTCGTTTGAAGAATATGGGCCTCGACAAAATGGTCGAGAGAAACAAAAGCTTAACACGAGAAGGAACAGGGAAAAAGTAATTTTCAAGAGTATCACAGCTCAAAGGTTTGGTGACATTGGCTTCGGTGTTTTTGTCTTATTTTATACCTGGAAATATTGCAGGAAATATGAGGAAATATTATCATTATAATAGTGACTATTTATTTTCATCTCATCTGTGTAGAGTGCAAGAGTGCACCGTTATTGGAACTCTACAACAACAAAATAAGTTATAAATGATCACTGATTGTAAAATCGTCAAGTACCGGACAGCTGAAAGGGCATCTCCAGTATCTCTGGTCCTGAAAAGTGATTATTTGCTTTCTTAATGTGCTGTACTGATTGGTCATGTGGGTCTGTTCAAATACCGGACAGGCAAAGCAATGGAAACAGGGAAAAAGAAAGTTTGACTTGGATCATCGGTCACGATTCGGGCTCCCACTGTGGACAAAAAAAAAAAAATGGCAACGCGCTGTTTGGAGAGACGCTTCAGTCTGCTTCCGTTTGCCCTCGAGAAAAGCACCGAGTATGCCCACCTTTCTCCGTCACCCCCTACCGACGTGACTGAAAAAGCTGCAATTGAAAACAGAGATGGCAATCATTTCTTTCAACCGACATGCAATCGAGCAAACATACACACCGAGTGGTGCTGGTCAAGCAGAAGCCCAGCGCGGATGTTTGACCAAACTCTGTGACATCTGTGTCAATGACATCATCGACCTGGGCCTCCGTGGCGATGACATCCAGTGGAAACTCCCAGATTTGTCCCGACGCATGCTGCACCACTAGAATTGCTGAGCACCTACACACAAACACACACACACGTACGTACATCTTCCATTGATACTTGAATTTAATTCTCAAGGCTTTCAGCTTATGATGCTTCAGTTGCTCATCTCATGATCATCGGAAATTGTAGGATGTTAGTGTGTGGGTGGCAGTGGTGGACACGCCGAATGCAATGTACCCGACAAACAAGATTTGGACATTTGTGGCAGTAAAAGTGTCATTTGCAGTTAAACGCTGAAAGGGTTCACAGTGGAAGACATCCTTTGCTTTAAACCTCGTCGTCGTACGGACGATTTTGAGTATGCGCTGATGGTATACGCGCTGGTTCCTGAGAACAATGTTTAAAATTTAAGGTTGTGTTTTCAAGATTGCAAAAGCAAGGGCAAGAAAGTGCAAACTTTTCCCTGTCGCTGGTTTCCAACTATTGAATGAACTTCCGGTGCACATGAACCTCCGTGCGGCCCATTCATAAAACCCAGTTTTATTCCTTGGCGTTCAACACAGCACGAGACTAGAGCCCTTATTTTAGTGTCTTTTTTGTTTTGAGTGTTTGGAACTTTCTTACCTGTTTTATTGATTATAAATAATATGTTCAACTGTCTTGTGCTTTGCACTTGTTTTGAAAGTCTTTTTTCAATGAAACTGAGTTGACACGATGCAAAACCTTTTCAGCGCACCTGAATTCTTGACTCATCAATAAATTATGTGGATCAGAATATGATGCGAATAACATGATGGAAGAAGCTAAACTCCAGTGACTCCCCACTGAAAAAAAATGGGGGGAAAAAAAATTTATTGGTCAATAAATGCATTTTGGATGAAATGAGTTAAAGCCACAAATGAACTGTTATGGTGTTGTTTCGTGTGGCCAAAAGAAAAGCTTTGTATTTTTTTAAGCTTAGCGACCAAAGATGCATCAGGAGGGTCTTCAATGAACCCAAATTCATAATTTCCCATAGTGGGAAGAAGCAGGAGGATCCAGAGTGAACCCATGCAAGGCTTAGCGCATGCAGGCTGTAACAAATTAATGCAGATGAGATAGATGGGTGGGGGGGAGATAACCCCCTCCAAAAGACAATAACACAGTGTTTACTCAGCATGTCATCTGTTATTCACAAAGCAACAGGACAAAGTGATTGAACGCTCTCCCCCCCTGTTGAGCGTCTGGATCGCGACAATCTTTTCATGACTTCATATTTGCTTGCTCACAGTGGGGGTGCAATATCTGACATTTTTCTTCACATATTGGGAGGTGTTGATCCATATGAAAATGAGCGCTGATGTGTCAAGCTGTGAGGAAATATGAGACTGCAAGTTTGTGCGTGTCTGCATCAATCAAATGTGCACTTGGATGGCTCCTGTCAATGTGCATCAAGCTTTTTTTCCACCCCAGAGATTTTGGTGACGGCACCTGCATTGCTTGACCGGACTGAGGAGCAGATTGATGGTGAGCGTCACAACGCCGGTCTCGGGGTCTCTCCTCCCAGCTTCGATGGAGGCAGTCAGGCAGTCCTCGGTTTCACTTTCGAAACACACCTCGCATTGGAAGTCTTCCACAAACACGTGGGGAACTGGAAAAGTCAATTCAGAGACAGATTGACCGGGTCTGCACACCCGCAGAAGGATAGAGGTGCAAAAACAGCTCCCCAAAAGCAATCCGGATCTATTCGGCTTCTTCACGATGGATGCACAATGCTAATTTCAGTCTATGCATTTTTGATGCGAACATTATTGAATGAATATGTATGTGTCAAAAATATACCAAAATGCGAATCAATCTCAACCTGGGTTTGCCACTTTTTCACCGTAGCGTCACCCTTTCAGAATTGGTTGTCAAAATAATGAAAGATCTGCAAAGCCTTTATCGCGACTCTAAAGATACTGTATGATGTGATATGTTGCAAATTGGCATTTGACTTGCAGCGCATAATCAGCATTCTGTTATGCCTTTTTGACCTTGCCGTGACCTTGAAGAGACTCCATCATTTGAAAGTGGACGTCAATCACAAAATTACTTCCTTGGTCTAAGTACAACACGAACATGAATTTGCGCCACGCTGACACTCCATCCATCCATCCACCCATCGCGGCCGTGCTGGAGCCTATCCCAGCTGTCTTCGGGGAGCAAGCGGGGCACTCCGCCATTACAAAAAAAAAAGGTAACGATGCACGCGAGCCACACCTTCATGTTTAATTTCAGCTCCTGGCACAAATCCGGTGAGCAGGATATCAAGCCTCTTCTCCAGCTGGCAGCCCGCTTCACACTGGACCAGGCAGAGTGGTGAATTATCAACAGGCGCTCTCAGGGGAATCCCGCAGAGAGGGTAGATCCAACAGATGGTCGACAGCTTCTTTCTGGCCCTGTTTAATTATGAACGTCGAGCATGCTGAACGCTTCACAATTTGTCATGAGTCGCAGGTAAAAATAATAAGAGGAGTCCAAGCGCACGAGCCGGCAAGCTGCATTGAGACCAAAATAAAGCCACGGCGACTGGCAGACTGCCCGTCATGCCTTGTTGGCTTTTGCATTACTGAACACCGCAAAACCAAACAAACTCGTAGGAAATAATTCAGAAACCGACAAGTACCGCCTGCGCCTTTAACCACCGCTAGCGTCATCGCCATTGAAACTAATCACGAGCCCGTTGGCCACTTTCTTTTTACACAGCCTGCCCTGTGGTTGGAATTCATTTAAGTGATCATTTATTGTTTAAATCAGGACATGTTCAGGACAACATACATGATGCATGTTACTGAACTGGGTTCAATTCTTCATGTAAATATTCATATTTTTTTTTTTTACGAATGCACCAGCAAGAACTTTCTGCTAGCTTCAGCATTGCTTCCTCGGAGAAGGTCTTTTATAAAATAAAATAGGTACTCGGTGAAGTCCTTAACTGAATCGAAAACACAATCAAAGTGGATCGTGAATCGGGCCATCGTGAATCGAATCGATTTCGGAAATCTGAATCAATACCCAGCCACAACAGGGATTTACAGCCCTAAAAGGCGCAATAATCAACAAAAAGTAGATTCTTCTACTTCTGGACCTCAATGCAACACAGGATTCTAGATAAGGTAAGCCATTTTCAACTAAAAAGAAAAACGTTTTCATAGTTTGCTTCGTTCAATCGGGACTAGTTTATAAAATAAAATAATAAAAACCTTCGAGTGGGCACAAAAGGTCAGAAAGCATGGCTTCATTTGAAATAATCTGTGTTCACTAATTTCTCAAATATTATTAAGTACTCTTAGCTTATTCACCTTATTGTACTGAATATCAAGTGTGAAAATTTATTAATTGCTCTGATCACGTTGTCACTTGAAATATCGAGTTGGAGAATTTTTATTGTTGTGTCATGTGTTACACCCAGAGCAGAATTCTGCTGAAATGAAAATACGACGCACCTTTTTCCACTCGTGGCGGTGTTGAGTGGCTTCATCGAGATGCACAGCCAAGCCTGTTGTGGGTCCATAGACTTGGGTGCAAACACCACCGGCACATCCAAACTGCCGCCCTCGTTTATCTGTACACCTGCAGTAGAAACCCCAGAATAGATCGATTTTTCCATAATTAACTACGGCCAAACCAACTGATCGGTTCTACTTTTAACCCTTTCGTGCACCCTGTAACCAGATAACATGATCTGCTGTCCACTGTATATAGCCGCTGTCCCTGAAAGGGTTAATGTAGACTAGAATAGATTTGATGTGTTGGCTTCCAGAAAATTAACAAGAGCAAAACTGTGGTCTGTAATTTTGTGATCGAAGTTTGATCTTTAAAAAAGACACTGGAAATGCTCCAGTTTGCGCAGAAAAGTCACTGCAGCAATCAACAAAGGACGCTGACGCGACGATTAAATTTCAGGACTGAGAAAAAAAACTCTGAGGGAAGGAAGAATGGCACAGGAGGTGTAACTTAATTAAAAGAAGAAACATTTCATTTGAATCTCTTTGACATTGATATTTAATGACAACGTGTCCAAAGGGACAGAAGCTGTTATTTGAACCTTCTTGCTGCCCATTTACATGCAAATTCTTATCAGATCAGATTGCATCTCTTAATTAACCGTGCTGAGAGTGCTCACCATGAATCCAGGGGAGCCTTGAAATACGAGTTGAATTTATTTTGTGACAACTATAAACGCTAAAAAAATGTGCAATGCGTTTTTAAGAAAAAAAATGTAACTCTATATTTGTAGTTAAAAAAACATATACAGTTAATGAATAAATGAATAGAATGTAATTACTTGAAATATTTTTGCCACAGTATTTGCTTCAATTCAATGGACAATGGGCTGCGTCGACAGGCGTTTGCGCCTTGGCCACCTGGCAGCAGCAGTATGATACAAACAAAGTGACATATACATGGAGATGGCCCTTGGTATGCTGCAGTTAGTCTTTTTAATGATATCTTATTTGCCTGAGAGTCTTTTTAGAGTGTCTGTTTGGATGTGTTGCTGCACCGTTTGTGTTTACATAGGCATTGCTTGTCGGGTTATAACGCTGTTTATTATTTGTTACCCTTGTTAGAATACATCGTGGGACTTGAGCTACAGTTATTTATTCAGTTATTTATTCCTGTGACCTTTTATTTACAGACGCTCTGCACTTCACTATCTTTTACACCCTTCCTCGCATTTAGTCAAAACCACTTAAGACCAAGCTTAGAGACCTTGTTTGGTGGTGTCACCCCCTGTGTGGTTGTTGACTAAGAGTGTATATGAACAGGGAATGAGTTAAGACTTTCTTCTCCACCCGACCGTGTAGTCGATAAGCCTCCACGGTCGTGTGTCGATCTTTTTTTGGCATTAAAGCTGTTATACTTTGACTCGCAATTCGATGTACCGTTCCTTCATGTTCTTGGGAGCATAAAGACAACGAGCCAGTTGAAGTTTAGAAGGAACACCCTCTCTGTGGCCTTTTGTATTGTTTGTTAGCACTAAGCTAAATGGACGTCTTGCTCAAAGTGCTCGTTTGAAAAGAATAAAATTCATTTTGTTTCTCTGTATAATGGAATAAGTAAACACACCTTCCATCTGGCTCAGAGACAGAGAGAACACGTCCTTGTCAGGAGTCATTGGAACCAAGCTAGGGCCAGCACTTGGATCTTTATCTGTTACACAGACATATTAAAAAAAAAAAAAAAACAAGTGATGTTGGTGTCAGTCTTTTTACGTACGTGTGTGTGGACGTGAATGTCATGAAAGGACAACATTTGCCATGTGACCTGTAAGTGCGAGCCCAAGTGTGCCTGGGTGCTCGGTGGGATTTTTGAAGCGAATGATGAAGGACTCCCTGGCGCCAACTGCACAGGAGATGCTTAAAGGTTCCTCCCGTCCGGGCATGAGACCTCGCCCGAACAACAACACACACCATTGCTGCAACTACAGCGAGGAAAAAGGTTAAAACAGCAAAAAAAAAAAAAAAAAAAGGCATCTCCTTGAACCAAATTAGTGAGGGCGAAATGTATTTAAAATAGGGAGCAATCCATAAGTTTTAAGTGTGTGTCACCTGAGGGCAGGCGAAAGTGATCTTTGCTCCGTGGTTGCACTCTCCAATACATGATGGGGTGAAGAGCACCCCCAGTTGGGTGGCAGAGTAAGGCTCTACAGTAAGCTGAAACACACACACACGCACACACACACACACACACGAATGTGAAGAAGGCATGAATGACTGTTTCAAAGTGCATTTGAGAAAGGAGAGGCTTTATTTTAGCCAGCTGCCTAATATGAAAGAAGCTGGATTTAAAAGTGGCACCAATTTGCGGTCCGATTTAAAATCACTGTCCAGTTTGAGACCCAAATTCGAGACTGTTGGCTTAAGATAAGGAGCCGGGGAGCCCACGTTCGCAGGACGGGATGTACATGGGCCACTAGGACCAAACACCATCACTTTTGTCTTCTTCACATTGAAGTTCAAAAAATTTTGCGCCATCGAGGTCTTGATTTCCTCCAGGCAGGATCAACCCCACATGATCAAACAAAACTCCCTGTATAGGAAGGAACCTCGAACAGAATCCAGGCTCTATGGGGCGAATGTCTACCTTGGCTATTTGGGTTGAGTTTAAGAAGTAGAGTCGAGGAACAGAGGCTAGATAGAGAGGTTGAGCAGCCAGAGGAAGGACGACACAACAATGGGCACAAATAACAGCCATATCAAGAATAATAATCTTCCCATGCTGAATCTGAGAATCCGCAAAGTGAATACAATCCGATCCTTCCAACTTTGTCCACTGCGAATTGTGAGCAATAGGCTCAGAGGTTAGTCAAGAAAAAAAAAATACTAACAGTGCTTTCTGAACCCAGTTCCAGGGTGTAGTTTCTGGGGTTACTGTTGGACACGGTCACCTTCACTCTATCTGCCGTTGGGTTGACCACTGCAATAGACTGTCTCGTCCACCTGAGACAAACAAAAACCACAGAGAATACAAAAAAAAACACAATACCCTTTACAACTGCATTTTTTTAAGGCAAACTCTTTGTGTTGCTACCTACTTGCCCAATGGACAGCAAGCCTGTGGTAGTGTCACAACAGCAGAGGGAACGGCATAAAGCTCCAGCTGGTACCAAAACTCTCCGACTGGTTCAGACTGGAACACCACGCTGGGACAGAAAAAAATAACATAAAATAAATAAGTAAACATGTGCGACTGAAATGCAAAGGAAAAAAAAAATCACAAGACCAAAAAGAAATGACAATACAGCGGCGCCTTGAGATGTAAATTTAATTTGTTCCGTGACCACACTCATTACAGCGTAAGACAAAGATAATGATATTCAAACATCGCACCTAAAAAAAAAAACGATCAGCCGATTTTTGCAAAGTTAAACATTTACTCAAGGACAAAATATTGTAGTTACATGTTCTGACTGTATTGTTGTAAGCATTAAGGGACCAAATAAATAGTTAAAGAAACATACAAAACATGTCACTTCTATTTGTTTTATGTTTGGTTTGACAATAGCTGGGAGTGGTTCACTAACAGTATTTTTTTTTCTGTGTTGACGATTCACCAAACTGCCACTTGTTGTAAAATGACTTGAGTTGTGTTGCATTTACTGCCACCGCAACAGCACTCGCCACACATGCATGCATACCACACAGTGCGCGAATCCTTCTCATGTTGTCTCTTCATTTTCCCCAGCGTTGTATGTGAATGATCAAGTGCTTCTGTGTTGACGATTCACCAAACTGCCACTTGTTGAAAAATGACTTGAGTTGTGTTGCGTTTACTGCCACTGCAACAGCACTCGCCACACATGCATGCATACCACGCGCACGAATCCTTCTCATGTTGTCTCTTCATTTTTCCCAGCGTTGTATGTGAATGATCAAGTGTGCGGGTGTGAAAAACAAAAGAGGACTGCTCTAACCTGCCTCTGCTCTTCCCCATTTTTCCCGGAGAAAATGTGACCTTATAGGTAAGTGTTTCCTGCGGGGGGATTAAAACCCAGTCCGCTCCACACAAGTCAGCTCCTTCCAGGTCCACGTTGAGCAGGAGGAGCTCTCCTCCCGGGTTACTGACGGGGATCTCGATGGCGACGGAGCTCTGGAGACATTGCAAAGACGAAACCTGATTCGTATTTTTTTTCCGAATACTCAGGTGCCGGACTGGAGCGTTGTTGAGCTTACGTGAACGGCGCACTGCACGTTCAAGGTGTTCACAGGTGATCCTGGTTCACATATTATCTCCAGAGTGTAGAACACTTGGTAGCGTCCAACAATATTACCTGAAAGGGAAGTTCACAGGGGGCAAAAGTAGTCATTCACACTCTGTGCTGAAGTCGACTTTGTCATGTGTGAATAAAAACACAAAAAAACCCCCCAAAAATTACCTTTGTCAACACATCTCTCATCTCTCTGATCAGTCTCATCAAATGACAGATAACCTGTGAGAAACATTTTAACATTCATTGCACCCTCGCCTTAACTACTTCGATTCAAATTGCATGAAAAAGTAGCCAAGGTAAAAGTCACCTGATAGCTCCCCACGTTTCCGTGGCAACACAGCCAGGGTGTACAGTGCGCTTTGACCGGGTTGAACTTTTAAGGATGAATTGCCGCTAATAATGGATAGGTCAGTCATCACCTTAATACACACACGCACGCACGCGCACACACACACACACGTTCAGAAATGAATGAAGCGCCCTTTCAAAATCTGCAGCATCTTATTGGCAATGCATTGAACGAATGGAATTCAAACCAACCTGAAGAGAGAGCGTCTTCTGAGTGTAGTTCGGGACATTCAGCTGTCTGCTAGTGGTCTCGCCCACGGGACAGCGTAGTACGACATGCTCCACAGGCAGGGGGCGCTCACCCACCCCTCGGATGGTAAAGACATGCTCCAC